TTTTAAAAAGAACCCAAGGCAGCATCTTTAATAAAAGAACAATCTTTAAAAGCTAAAAACAGTAAGCATGCAAATATGAAAAAAAAGAATTAAACAAGTATTAAAAATGGTAAACAAAGTCAATGCTAAAACACATTTAAACAACAGAACCCAACAATCCATCTTAAAAAACCCTCTCAGACCACTGGTCACCAAGAAAAAGCCTGGCTGAAGAGAAAGGTTTTGGCCTGCTTGTGGAAGGACAGTAAAGGGGGGGGCAGCCTGGTCTCCAGTGGCAGGGAGTTCCAGAGTCTGGGAGCAGCCACAGGGAAGGCCCTGCTCTGTGTCCCCATCAAACTCACCTGTGAAGGTGGTGGGGTCGAGAGAAAGGCCTCCCCTGATGATCTTAACACCCAGACAGGCTCGTTAAGGAAGATACAGTCTTTTAAAATAGCTTGGGCCCAAACTGTTTAGGGCTTTATAGGTTAAAACCAGCACTTTGAATTGGGGCTGGAAGTGGATCGGTAGCCAGTGGAACCTGTTGCAAGAGGGGAGTTATAGGTTCCATGTAAGCAGTCCAAGCTGGCAAGCGGACTGTGGCATTTTGGACATGCTGAAGTTTCCGAACACTTTCCAAAGACAGCCCCATGTAGAACATGTTGCAGTAATCCAGCCAGGATGTCACCCTGGCCAGATCAGACCTCTCAATAAATGGGTGCAGCTGGCACACTAGTTTTAGCTGTGCAAAGGCATTCTTGGCTGCTGCCGAAACCTGGACATCCAGGCTCAGAGATGTCCAAGAAGGATATCATGGCAGCATGGAGCCCTGGTACCGTTGGGTTGTTTTTAAGGAGAAAGGCAAAAATACTTTTTTTTTCAACAAATAACAAAGGTTACTGAGTGGGCCACAGAACCAACAGTGACACACTCCCCCTGTCCAGTTCTTGGTGTAGGTGGCCCACCAAGGCGACCCAAGCGGTCTCTGTCCCATAACTAGGCCTGAAGCCGGGTTGAAATGGATCTGGACAATCCCTCTCACCCAGAAACCCCCTGGAGTGGCTGAGAAGCCACCAGCTGCTCCAGCCCCTTGCCCAAGAACGGGACATTAGGGACTGGCTGGTGATTATCCAGGACTGTGGGGGGGTCCAAGGAGGGCTTCTTTCCAATCATGGCCTGACGACTGTCTGCTTGAAGCATGCTGGGATCCTGCCCTCCTTCAAGGAGGGCTTCACCACCCCTTGGGACCCACTTGCCCAGTCCCTCCTCTGGCCACTTTTATCAGCCAGGAAGGGCAAGCAAGGGCGGTCGCCTTCCCCTCTCCAGGGGTCTTGTCCACACCCTCAGGCTGCAGAAACAGAGACTCGTCCATCAACACGGGGCAAACAGGAGCTCTAGTTACATCAGCAGGACCTGTATTAACTACAGCGTCCAAGTCAGAGCGCATCCGAACAACTTTGCCTGCAAAGCGCTCTGCAGATTTTTCACAATGAGCTACAATGGGGTCAGCACTGTGGGTCAGGATGTCACAGGCCCTTGGCCACTCAAAAGACCATTTCCCCCTTCCAGAGGTCAATCAGAGCTTCAGCAGAATCGCCTGCTGAGGTTGACCAGAAACTCCCCAAGAGCTGTCCAGGAACCACGTCAATCCCTTAGCCTTCCAGGGCGGACCATCTTAATGGGCAAAAGAAATAGCTAGAACCTAAAAGGACTGTGAAGAGTCCCCAGAGACAGGAAGGACGGGATGCCTGGATTGCAGGAAAGAGATGGATCAGCAGGCGAAGGGGTCACGTACAGAAGGGGTATTGGGGGGGGTGCTGTTTTTTAGGGAGCCCCCCTAAGGCAAAACGGTGGAACCTCTTCCAGTGCAAGAACTGGCACCCTTTGCAAAGACACTCTTCAGGCAAAAGCTGCCTTTCCTTGCCCGTATTTGGACTCAACCCTCTTTCTGTCAGTAACTCAGCCTTAGGAGAGGCGGTATGATTGACTGACTGATTGATTGATTGACTGATTGACTGATTGATTGATTGATTTAGAATGTTTACTCCACCTTCCTTCATAAAAAGGACCCAAGGCAGCTCACATCATTCGAAGACAATATTTAAAGCTGACAACAGTAAGTATACAAATATTTTAAAGGATGCTTCAATATCCTGCTGTTTGACTCTTGTTTCCCCCCAGTGACCCGTCATAATCACTTGAAGGACTTCATGCTGGTGGTGTCCATTGTGATTGGCGTGGGCGGCTGCTGGTTCGCTTACATCCAGAACCGCTACTCAAAAGAGCACATGAAGAAGATGATGAAGGACCTGGAAGGTCTCCATCGAGCTGAGCAGAGTCTTCACGAGCTCCAGGAAAGGTGAGCCTTCCCTGTCCCTCGTGTGCAGAGGGTAAAAGGGGGGGGGGGGTGAAGTGGCCCAGATCCCTCTTCATCCAGGCCAGTACTGGGCTTCTGATGAGAACTGGCCATGCACGGCTTTCTGTGGTGTGTGCGTGCCTGTGTGTGCATGCGCAAAGTGAATCGTTTTAACATGCTCTTCCCTGACCTCTCCTCTGCCCTCCTTCGCCTGCCCACCCCCACCCCCCTGCAGTTAGTGCCTCTCAGGTGGCATTGGGACTCTCCCTCCCTTCTGAGCAGGGTCCTTTCAGGACCAGGAGGGGGCACCTAGTGCCTGGGGTGGGCTGCAGGACCTCCCTGGTCCTCTTTCCTTTACACACCCAAGACCTTGGATGCCAAGGCTTGCCAAGGCCTTTCGTACCTTCCTTGGAAAACTTCCAAGGACCGAGTCGGTGACACAACAGCACTTTTGCACCTTCTGCAGGTGGCTGGGTCCAGGATCTATAGCCGGGAATGATCTCCTATCACTTCACTGCAACCTCCGTTTGTTAAATCTTTTGCATCTTGGGGAGTGGGGTGGGGTGGGGGTAAGATGGAGCAGCATTTCTGCAGCCTGTATGATTTGTGCCAGTCCAGTCAGTTGGTGTCTCTTTTCTTGGCAACACCATATATTTTTGTAAGCCTGTGGCATCCACACAGCTCTCTGGGCTGGCCTCTTGGGAGGCCCCTCTTGGCATGCAAAGGCTAGTAGTAGCCCAGGACTGCGCTTGAGAGGATGTGCAAGAGAGACTGATGTTTTCAGTCCAGCAGGGAAGCGAGGTTGGCTCTTACTCAGGCGGGCACCGCACAACCACGTAAACCCCTGTTTTCTTTCTTAGGCGATTCAGGAGCAGTTGCTCTTCCCTGTTGCCAGTGTGCATCACAATCCTCTTTTCACACCAAATGACACATTAGAAGGAGGGAGCCTTCGGTATTCATCCATTCAGCAAGCGATGTTGATTTTGTTCTCCCTAGGTTGAGCCTAGCCTCTTCTGGTTTAATAATTAGAGCCCGAGAGGCGTGCAGGAAACTTCTCCTCAATTTTAACTGTCTTGTAGAGGGTTGGTGTCCATGAAGTGGATGAGTTTGGTGTTGTTCATGGTTTACTAGCACCTCTTGACATATTGCTGGTGGGGCAATGCCAGCCAAACAAATGTACCTTGTCAGTGGGGGTAGGTGTCAGGCTTGGAAACGGGGATGAGCACCGCCCCCTAGAGTCGGACATGACTGGACGTTTGTCAAGGGGAACCTAGGTTTCAGGCAGCCATTAATAATCTTGCATGATTCATTAACAGCTACATCCATCTCTTTGGCAGGTGGTGATTTATACCATCCGGCACTATAGCATCTTCTGCTGTGAAGTGACACAACTGTTGTTCTTATTGTTTGTGCATGTGCCTCCCAGTCTGAGACAGCCAGTTTATGTATGTTATTTCTAGTGAGAACTTTCTGTTTGGTTTTTAGACAATGTTTTTGTAGTTCAGTGTTGGATCCAGATTGACACCCAAATACTTTGGTGTAGAGCAGTATTCTTGCTTTCCCAGATAACTCATAGATTCCCCTCTGCTTTTCTGTTTTTTAAATGGAAGGCACAGACCTCTGTTTTTAAAGTGTGGTTGTTTTTATAATATAAGGAAAATATTTTAATACAGAGGTTAGTGGGTACTCAATGGCCTCAAAGGTCCCCCCCCTTCCCCTGCCCCCAGACTCTCAAGGCATGGATGTCCAGAAGCGTTGCACTGTAGACTTGCTGATGAGCAAAATGACCGAACAGACCCTTTCAAGACCACAAATGGCAATAATTTCTGTTAATAGAGAGGACAGCTCTTCAGATGAAGAGGAACTCTAAGCTTCATTGGTCATGAACGGAAAGTTGTGTCCAAGAAACTTACAGAGGAACGCAGGGCACTGTACTGAAGAAGGCCACGTAGAAATCTGGACAGTTGATCTGGCCACGGGTATGGTAACATCGATTTATAAACGACCTACTATGCCTTCCTTCTTTAAGAAGCCATCCAGTATGGAAAACCCAAACACTCACTTTCTAGTTGGAGTTTTCAACAGCTGTAGCAACATTTGGGGCTGTGATCATGATGACGAAACTGGCAGAGTGTTTATACATGGTCCTAAACTCCCCGGTTCATTTCCCAGTGGCAGAGAGCCTGCTGGCCAGATCTAATATTCATTAGTAAGCTTGTAGCTGTAGGCATCCTTCAGCCTCGAGAGACGATGGTCCCGTGCTCCAAATAGAGGACTTGGAATAGCATCTCATGTGGCTGAGAAGAACAATTCGAGAGTGACCATCCCTTCCACACTGAAGACAAATACAATCTGCTCACTGGTTTGACTGGTTTCGGGACTTCCTCTTTGCCTCGGCCTGCTGGACAAGGGTCTCTTCAAATTGGGAGAGGCTGTGATGTAACGCCTGCCTCCAGGCTGAACACTTAGAGGTCAGGGTTTCCCATCTGTTGAGGTCCATTCCTGACGCCTTCAGATCCTGCTTGCAGAGATCCTTGCATTGTAGCTGTGGACTCATTCTTCATACGGGATATTTTTTGGAATCCGACTGTCAGGCATTCTCAATGGAATGTGTTCAGCTTCCTCTCCTGCCATGCAGAAAGGGTCCAGGACTCACTGCAGTATAGGTGTGTGCTCACGGCACAGGCTCTATAGACCTGTGGCTGAACCATGCATTAAGTGCGTAGGTGACGCAATCCCAAACGCTCAGCACAGACCCATTCTGTGTCAGATCTACTCAGACCTCCGACCCCCTTCTGTAGGAGGTATCATTTCTAAAAAGCCAACTGGGAAATGTTTACAGCCATGTAAGGTGCAGCTGTGCTCCGGACTGCCCGTCCATCACAGGCTGAAGGGGAGTTACTATCGGTACAGGCAGCCACGCTGCTCTCCCCCCCCCCGGTGGCTTCTGAGGCCTCACAATGCACTGCACTGCTTTCTGAGCAGAGGCAGCTTTTCTGCCATTTCCCCTGTCAGCTTGATAGGGTTGTCTCTCCCCTGCGGTTCTCTGAAGTCAGACCTTCAAGAGTGTGGCTTTCCATCGCCTGCGCCTCCAACTGCCAGCCTTGTCCACTGCCCATCACCCTCTCCCACTGCAACCAGGTCAGCATACGGGCAGTGACTGGACTCTGTGCAAACTGAACAAGGCGGGGCCACAAAGGCATGCCGTGGCTTCACAACCTGCTTGTCAACACAAGCCCATTGGTGAATAATGTGTGAGAGGCAAGGCATTTCCTGATTCTGGCTGTGGAACAGTTATTTCCTGGAAAGGAAGAGCCCCTTTTGGGTAGAGGCGCACGCCTTGGGAAGGAGCCGAGGGAGACTGGCTGACACTCTGAGGCCTTCTGGGCCCAGGGCTGGGCAAACGGTTGCCTGCCCGGCCAGTGCTGGCAGATAAGAGGCCAGTTCTGGAGGAGAGGGGGCACTGGGCTCCCCCCCCATTAAAAAAGGACTCTGTGCACCTCTTTGCTTTTCCAGGGAGGGGATCTTAATGGTCTGGCAAACGGAGAAGCTCTCTGTACGGACAAGATGCCTGCAATGGGTGGAAAACAGAGAGCCTCTCTCACAGGCACGAGGCATCTCCTTTCAGACAGATCTTGGGATGACCCTGCAGGTGTCATGGGAGGAAGTGAGGCTGTCAAGAGAGAGGGAGGATTTCTTCAAGCTGACAGTGCCAGGACCGCCAGCCCCATCACCGACCTTCCTGGTGCTGAGAGGAGGCAGCTTGCTGTCCTTCTGACACACGAGGGGTGAAAAAGCTGCTCTCTGCCTGGAGCCTGAAAGGCAGCCAGTTCTGAGGAACCAAGTACTTTGTCATGTGTGTTTTGCAGAACGTCATGTCATGTTGGCAGGCAGCTCCCTGGCGTGTGATGGAAGGGGGAGCAATTTCTTTCAGTTCTGTGCTGCCTGGAGCTTCTCTGTTGCTTGCGGGCCCTGTTCATCCAGATCAGCCCTCCCTGCGTTACAATGGCCGGGAGAGCATTCTGGAGCATCTCCACCACCACGACAACCACGACTGCCCCTCAGCCGACACCAAGACGGGTTTCAGGAAAACAGGGCAAAGAACGACCTGCTGGGTGCCAGAGCTGGCCAGGGCACATCGGTGCTTCATGTGGCCAGACTTCATGGTCTGAGAGGCATGACCCAGGATGGCTTGAAGTGGCTTTGGTGCGTCTAAGCGGGCTAAGCACCAGAGTGTGCTGGAGGCATGCTGGAGCATCCCTGTGCTTGGTCTGGGGAGCCAAGGGAAAAGGGGACCCCAGGATGCATCCCCACCGGCCACGTGGACCTGGCTAAGGTCTTTGGCTGGCCCGTCATCATCTGCGGAGATGAAAGGAGGGCAAGGGGCTTGCAAAATCACCAGACTTAACTACCACTGTTGCTGCAAAGTTTCCAGGCTGTGCTAGAGGAGTGCTTTCATTGTGAGGGAATGAGAACGTCCATGGCCTGTTTTCCATCCCAAAAGGGAAAAAGTTCATCTTGCAAGCTGTTGTAAACAGCAGAATCCTCTTATCAGTTCCTCTGGGAGAAAGGCCTGAGCCATAATTGTAAGTTTCCCATCCTCAGCACACAAACCCTTTCTGCCGAGGGATGCAAGCTCCCCTGTGGGCTTCAGTCTCCAGCTGACAATGGTCTGAGGGAGCACCAAGCCAAAGAGAGCACAGGGTTATCTCTGAAATGTGGAATGTTGCGCATCATCTTAGTCTCTGACAGCTGGGAGATGGAAACATGGTTCCTTTTTTATGACACCGAAAACAGCCTGGAAACAAACCTCTTCCAGCCGACACATTGGCAAAAATAAGGGCTGCGAAATGAACCCATCCAGGCTTTTTAATGCATGGCTCCCTCTCTGGAAGAGTGAACTCTGTGCTCCCAGGGGATCCCTCGCATCTCTGCCAGGCGCCTCAAGCTGAGAGGCTGTTTCAGTGACACTGTGGGCTGCGAGGCGCCCTTAGTCTCATGCTTCCCATGATGTGTGTTTATGTAACCACAAGTCCATATTTGTGTGCCCAAGGGTACGTTTTTAACACTTTCCAGAAGTGTTCTGTGCTGGATTCTTGTGCAGCAGGCTCGGCCTTGCATCTGTTTCCCCCTGGGAAGGGTTCTTTGGCAAGAAGCTACCTGGCAGACGAGAGCCCAGGACCGAAAGCTTCCTCTTGGAGGATTTTGGGCCGTTCGTCCTCCTCCAGGTCTTCAGGGCTGTCCACCCCCCACCCCCGGAAAGCAGCCTTGTTCTTGATGCAGAGCTTCCTCGGTGCCAAGATCTGCTTTCATTTGGATTCCTGCACGGAGCGTGGGGTTGGATGTGATGGCCTTAGAGGCCCCTTTGAACTCCGTGATTCTAGGATGGGTTGGTTGGTTGGTTGGTTGGTTGGTTGGTTGGTTGGTTGGTTGGTTGGTTGGTTGGTTGGTTGGTTGGTTGGTTGGTTGGTTGGTTGGTTGGTTGGTTGACTGATTGACTGACTGATTGACTGACTGATTGACTGACTGATTGACTGACTGATTGATTGACTGATTGACTGATTGATTGACTGATTGACTGATACCACCCATTAGTGCACAGCACTTTTCTGGACAGTTCACAAGTAGAATAACAAATAGATAACAAAAATGTGTGAAGCTATAAAAAACATAAAACCATCAAACAGCAATCCCAGAAAAGGATTCCATGATCTGTTGTAACAAACAGCATTTTTTACGTGTTCAGTGCAGTCTTACAGTCTTCAGTTTGTCATCTCAGCCACACTGTGACCGCACCCGTATCTGCATTTTGCTGGTGGGAAAGCTGAGGCTGAGTGACGTCCTCTTACATATCAGTCTTGAAATGATTTGATAATATTGGAAGGAGGGAAGATGAAATGAAGTTGCTCGGTGTAGCTGTCGAGTTTGCAGCGCGGAAGGTGGGCGTGGAGAAAAGAGCGGGCCACCAAGGGTGCCTTCCAAAGCCCTGAGGCTGCTTTATGGTGCCAGGTCAGGCCCCAATCCAGCGTGAGTCCGGCATTGTTGTCTCCTGGCCAGCAAGGGCTTTCTAGAATCCCATCCGTAGGCACCGTTGACAGCCCTGTGGCTTGGGATGCCTGGGGGTGAACCTGGCGCTTCCATCAGTCCAGACACAGGAACGGCTATGGACACACAACCTGTTGGGCTTCACTTGGTTGTGAGGTGGGGGACGCGGGGCTTGCTGGCCACTCCCAGGCTCCTCTGCCTCAGGGGTTCTTCCTAGAGAGGGTGGCTTCCCAGCAGAGAAGCCAAGCCGAGTCTCTCAGCACCCGGACTCTGAAAGAGCCTGGCTTTCCCTTCTCCCCCACGCTCTCCAGATGCCAGGGCTGGTTCAGTCTGCCTGAAACTGGCAGGGAGGTGGTGGCAGAGGGGTGGCAAAGAGAGAGAGAGAGTCATGTCACCAAGTCATGCATGCCAGCAGAGTGACATTTCCATTGGATGCCTTTTCTGCTCCCACCCCTGTCCCCAACTCCACTTTTTGTCTTGTTCTCCTAACAATGGTCTGAGCCGCACTGGGCTAAACTTACCCTAAAACGAAAACATTGCCTGGAAAGGAAACGGACGGGCAGGGCTGCAGAAAGCTCAGCGTTCAGAAAAGGGCGGCCCATGTCCCAGAGCATCGCCTGGCCTGTCACGGCTGCAGCAGGGCAAGGAGGAGGCCCCCTCTCTCGGGACGTCCTGGCCCAAGCAGTGCATTGTTTTTGGTTCATCAAACGCCAGGCCTGCCCGCCGACCCTCCTGCACGCGCAGGCGGCCTGCCTTTGACTCTGCGTTGCCGGAGAAGCCAGCGCGTGGTGCCCAAGGAGCTTCTGGTGCGTAGCCCAGCCAGAGGCAGCCTAGGGGGCAGAGGAAGCATGGGGCCCAGGGCTGAGCCTTCGGGTAACCCACTTGTTCCCTCCTCCCAGTTTGAGAAGGAGCCATTGATAAGCACTCTCTGAGTATGATTCTGTGACCCGCTGTGTCCACCTGACCCTTGTGCTATCCAGCCCACACCTAGTTAGCCTTCTAATCAAAATATCACAGGGCAGTTTGTCAAAGGCTTTGCAGACCATTTGTTTGTTTGTTTTTTTGTTTATTTTTGATTTATATCCCGCCCATCTGGTCTATACGACCATATATATTACATCTACAACATTCCCAGCATCTATCAGCGAGGCTACCCAATCAAAAAATGAGATAAGATTATTCTGGCAGGATTTGTTTTTGGTAAATCCATGATGGCTTCTAGTTATTACTGCTTTGTTTTGAAGATGCTTGCAGAGTGACTGCTTTATAATCAGCTCCAGAATTTTCTCTGGAATTGATGTCAAGCTGACCGGTCTGTAGTTACAGTTTCCTCCTTTTTTTTACCTTTTCGAAGATAGGGGCAACGTTAGCTCTCCTCTAGTCAACTGGCGCTCCACCCGTCCCCCATGATTTCAACAGAATAATCGACAATGGTTCTGCCATCTCTCCAGGCAATTCTTTTCCCCCATGATTTCAACAAAATAATAGACAGTGGTTCTGCCATCTCTCCAGGCAATTCTTTCAATATCCTTGGGTAAAGTTCATCTGCCTCTGGGGATTTGAACTCAATTAAAGTAGGAAGGTGCTCCTTGACTATTTTTTTTATCAATCTCAAGCTGCAATCCTATCTCCTCCCATAGTGAAGTCCATAGTGCCTGGACATCACTATGCCTCCAAACTGTCTTTTGGAGCGGAAGTAGGAATTGAGCATTTCTGCCTTTTGTTTGTTGTCTCTTATCATTCTGCCATCATTCTGCCCATTGAGTAGCTGAGCCACTGTTCCTATTCTCAGCCTTTTGCTACGCAAATGTACCTGAAGAATGCCTTTTTTGTTGTTGCTTTTAGCATCTGCTAACCTCAGCTCATTCTCAGCTTTTGCCTTCCTGTTGCCATCTCTGCAATTCTTTGGTACTTGTCTGTACTCCTCCTTTGTAGTTTGGCCTTCCTTCTGCCTTCCAAATGTTTCCTTTTTTGTTTTCAGGTCCTCTCTGAACTTTTTGTGAAGCCACGATGGTCTTTTCTCCCTAACTTCCGCCTTTTTTACTTGTTTGAATTGCTTGTAGTTGTGCATTTAGAATTTCCTTTTTTAAGAAACTCCCACCCATCTTGGATTCTTTTTCCTGTTAGGATCTCCTGCCATAGGAACTTACCTATCATTGTTCTGAGTCTAGCTTTCCTAAAATCTAGTGTGTGTGTGTGTCTGGCTACACTCTGGTTTTGTTTCTTTTGAAATCATGAACTCAAGTAGAACATGGTCACTGCCCCAGTTTGCTGGCCAGCTCCAAAGATGGGGACAAACTAGCTGCATGGAGATGAGAATCAGCCTCCCTGAACCAGAGGCTGCAGCCAAAGAGCCTTAGAGGTAGCTCTTGAACCCAGAGCTGGCTGCCTGCCTTTAGGTCTCTTCTCCTGTCTCCTCTTGCCCGATGGGCATCACAGCCTCCTTTTGCAGGGGCTCTTGGGAGGAAGAAGGAAAGCCCCCCCCCCCCCGCTTGATCCCCTTGAGGAAAAAGGTGCAAAATCGTGTTCATCTAGCTGGCCTGCATGCCTGCCAGAGAGAGAGAGGTTGCCAGTCTTCTCCCTGGGCTTTCATGTCTCTGCAGGGAACCCTCTTATGCCCACTCTCTTCTGACCACCAGGTGGGGTTCTCAGGAAAGTGTGGATGGCACTGGGTATTTCAGGTATGCTTATAGCTAGAGATGGGCACGGACCTCGATTCGGAGGTCTGACTGAATTTGTCTTTGAGTTCCCACAGGTGCTGTGCAGGCACGGCACCCTCCCTGCCCCCCCGCCTCCCCTGCATGCTCACCCATTCCTCAGGTGACACGTGCGTCCATCCCCGCCTCCCCAGCATGACTGCCCACTTGCTTTTTGCAGTGTGTTCTTCTCTCTTCTTCGTCCTGCGGCAGCCAGCCACTCAGGTGGAGGCGGCAGGGCAGGGGTTCATGCAGCGCTGCCTCGGAGATTGGGCAGCTGACAGAGGAGACAGAAGTGGGAAGAGCAGGCGGCCCAAAGGGGAGTGGCCAGTCGCACTGGGGAGGCGAGGAAGAAAGCACGCTTTGGCCGAGGAATGGGCGGGTGTGCAGGGGAGGGCGCCACGCTGGTACCACTATGAATTGGGCCAGACCTTCAAAATGAGCTTCGTGCCCATCTGTACATACAGCCTTAATTTTTTAAAAGGCATTTTTAACCTTATCCAGTTTCTAGTCACTAAATCCAGTTGTTATCCTGAGTGCAGTAGGCCCACTCAAACCGTAGGGCTTGCTAACGCAAAATTTATGCAAAACCCATTCATTTAGTGGCTGTACTCTAGTTGAACCTAACATTTGGAGTTAGCCTAGAGCAGGTTAGATTGAAATAGGATGAATATCGCCTGTTGAATACCTTCCGGATTAAGGATACTTGGTGTGTTCCTTTCTGCCTCTGGATGGCTCCTCATTCCTCCCCATCCTTTATCTTCTGTTCCGCTCCGCTTCCCTGTGTCTCCTCCTCCCCTTCCTCTCTGGGTGCCTGGAACAGCTGCCTTCTCCTCGTCTTCCTCTGCTGCTGCTGACTTGCGTAGAGTGAAGAGTGGTCTTGGCCCCTGGACAGCCATGGCCGTCGTGCTCCCCTTCCGGCCTCCTTTCTGTTAAACCCTGCCAGCGCTCTCGGGGTGGACGTCCTTGTTCTGGTCTCTTCTGCTGCTCCGATCACAGCCTCTCTCCCTCCCTCTCCCTCTCTCTCTCTCGCTGTGCCGCAGACTACAGAAGGCTCAGGAGGAGCATCGTACGGTCGAAGTGGAGAAGGTCTCCCTGGAGAAGAGGCTGCAGGATGAGATCAGCCTGGCCAAGCAAGAAGCCCATCGGCTCCGGGAGTTGCGGGAAGGGACGGAGAACGAGCTCAGCCGGCAGAAGTATGCCGAGCAGGAGCTGGAGCAGGTACGCCCTGGCCGGGAGCAGCCCACCTCAAGCCGGGTAGGTGGACAGCGGGGCCCCCCCTCCGCCCCTCCCCAGGGGTCTCAACCTTCTGGCCTCTGGAGGTTTCTGCCTGACCTGCTGCCTTGAAGCCATTCTCGGCCCCGTAGCTCGTCCAGAGAAGACGGTCGGGCCAACGTCCGGCCTGCACTCTCTCGGCCGGTTAGGCAAAACTGCCGATTGGAAAAAGGCTTGGAATTCCTGCCCAAAGTTAAAATCAGGCTCAGAGACCTCTGGTGATTCTGGTTGTCCTGCCCGTGGGCAGCAAGGCAGGCACAAACCGTCTTTCTAGCCCGACTCTCTGTCCTGGGGAGGGCTAGAAGTGACGCTCGGGCACTGCCGTGGGGTTCCTGGTGTCCTCCCAGTTCAAGGGGAGGGGAAGGCCCTCCGTTCCAGCAGAAGATAAAGTTCTAGAGGCACTCCAGGAAGTCCCCTCCAAAGACCCAGGGAGCTGGAGCCCTTCCGGCCCATGCCGGACCTCCGTGAGGGGGACCCTGGGAAGGAGGCAGCTCCGAAGGGCAGGATGACTCGGGGCTGGTCCTGGACTGAGCGCACAAGACCCACTTCCAGGAGGCGGCTTCGTTCCCGTAGGACTCGGGTGGGCCCTTCCTATCCTAGACGGGGTGGGGGTTGGCATTATGGGCTTTCATCTCAGGTCCTTGCCCAGTTCCGTCCCACTGCATCCCTCCATGGCATCACAGTCCCCATCCGCCCACCCGCCCCAGAGTGTGCTGGGAACTCTTGCCTGCCTCTTGAAACCCCGCTGGGGTGGCTGTTCTCCTGTCTCTCCCCGCAGGTCCGCATGGCCCTTAAGAATGCGGAGAAGGAACTGGAGGCGCACAGCAGCTGGGCACCCCCCGAGGCCCTGCAGAAGTGGCTGCAGCTCACCCATGAGGTGGAGGTGCAGTACTACAACATCAAGAAGCAGAATGCCGAGAAGCAGCTGATGCTGGCGAAGGAGGGGGTGAGTGCCTGGGGAGGCCCGGCCCAGTGGAGGACCACCCCTCTGAGCCATTCGGAAGGAGTCCTCCTCCTCCTGGCTTACGTTGGCAGAGAGGCGTGGCCCTCTTCCTCCTTTCATTCTTCACATGATCTTTTTGTGCAGCTGAAATGGCTGCTCCATTTTTCTTGGGCGGGCCTGTTTTGTGACCCCTTACCTTCGGCCAAGAGCCCCCTGTCCCTGCAGGAGAAGAGGACAGGAGGGAGGAGTGATGGGCTCCAGGCCACAACACAGGAAAAAGTCCCTACATTGAAGCAAGGTGTCCACTAAAAGATGAGGAGGGGTGGCGGTGGGGTCCGTGGCTCACCCTCTGCCGCCGCAGGCCTGTGTTGGGGGAGCTTCCAGGCACTTGGCCAAGACCGGGGGAAGACAGCACCTCTGGTGACTTGGCGCAGGGAGGTCCATGGAAGGCCGGCCTGGTGGATGATGCACAGAGCCATCTGCTTATCCTCGGATCCAGGGGGAGCTGGAGATCTCAATGGAGCCAGGATGTGACCACTAGATTCAGGCTAGATTCATTGGAATGGAGACCTCGTTCCCTTCAAAGGGCCCACCCCAGAGGGCAGCGTGTTCTTCAGGGTGCTGGGCCAAAGGACAGGGTTGGCGAGGTCCCACCAAGCCAGCTTTGTCAGAGAGACTAGGGGCTGCCGTGAAATCACAATGGCCTAGTGAGACCCTTCTCTCCGTTTGCGCTCTGCCTTCCAAGTGGGCTTAAATGGAAGCGGAGTGGGCCGTCCAGCCCCATGGCGGAGGGACTGGGTGAATAAGTGCACGTGCTCTAGGGGCGCCCCTTCCCAACCCGTCTCGGCCCTCAGCAAAACGGAGGAGGGGAGGAGAGACACACACAGGGCAGCGAGCGATGGTGATGGTGGTGGTGGTGGTGACGGTGGCAAGCATTCTGTGGCCCTTGGGGAGCCTGACGGGAGATGGGGCAGGAGGGGGGGGACTGGAACAAGGATGACATGGACCCTGCGGCCAGACTCAGGCAGAAGGTCTCGGCCTCGGGAGGGTGGCAGCTGCTCAGCAGGCGAGCAGGACGGACTGTGAAGGGCCCACCGGTCTGTCTTTTGTTTGTTTGTTTCCAATCTCTCTCATTCTCTCTCTCTCTCTCTCTCTCAGGCTGAAAAAATAAAGAAGAAGCGCAACACCCTGTTTGGGACATTCCACGTGGCGCACAGCTCCTCCCTTGATGACGTAGACCATAAAATTTTAACTGCCAAGTGAGTTTGTGACACCGCCGGTCCCCCCACACACACACACATACACTTTCTACCCCCTTCTTCCCAGTCTCAGGCTCTTCTTCCTCCTCCTCTTCCTCCTTCTGGGACATTTCTGTGCCATTTGGGCAGAGATCTCAAGGGCCAGCCTCCAGCTTCAAGGCATAAGGGAGTCAGGCTGTGTTCTGGGGGGGGGACGGGGGGCAAGGCTTATGCTGTCCAGCTGCTCTCAGGACTAAAAGGGGGTGTCTCTGCTCAGGGCAACCCCAGAGAGGCCAATCATCCCACCTTAGCCTCTCAGTCCCAAGCTCGTCTACTCGTGAAGATTTGACTTGGCGGGTGGGGACCTGTTGAGAGCGGCTGGGTGGGAGGCCGATCTCACCCTAAGGTGCCCGCCATTGGGAAGTTTGCCAGGACGCTCCTGGCTGAAACAGGCGGGCGTTCAGCCTGCATGTTGGGCAGGACACGTCTCTCCCCTCCGTGCAGAGCCCCAGGATGGCCTGGCACTCCCAGGTAGTCCTTGGGACTTGCGCTCGAGGCCCTGCTGGAGTGTCTGGGGACCCTTTGGTTTATAAGAAAATTCCAAGCAGGAGCAGAGGAGAGGACGGGGGACTGGCAAAAGCTGCCCCCCCCTCCGAGCTCAGGCTCGCTTGTCTCTCCGGCCTGGGGTCGTGGAGGCTGATCTGCCCCCCTGGCCCCTCTCACCTGCCTTCTCTTGCCCTTTCCTGCCCCTCCAGGCAAGCGCTGAGCGAGGTGACGGCCGCCTTGCGGGAGCGGCTCCACCGCTGGCAGCAGATCGAAATGCTGTGTGGCTTCCAGATCGTCAACAACCCGGGTCTCCACGCCCTGGTGGCCGCCCTCAACATCGACCCCAGCTGGGTGGGGAGCTCTGCGCGAGCCAACACCTCCCACTTCATCATCACGGACGATGTGGATGACCTGGATGAGGAGATTGTCTCCCCCATCTCCATGCAGTGTAGGTCACCGTGTGTGTGTGTGTTGTGGGGGTGGGCAGAGCCAGCGGTGGGCCAGAGAGGCCGTCCCCGGACGGGAGGCCGAGGAGCGGAGTGTCAGCCAAAGGCCCCTCTCCTTCTCCCGTCCAGGGGCTGCTGCCGTCAGGGGTTCGCCTCCCATGGCCTTTGGCGGAGGCTCTTCTGCCACGGGAAGCGGCGTCTGAGTTGGGTCAAGTGAAAAGGGGAGACGGGCTCCCGGTTGCAGGGCACCCTCCCCCAAGGGGTGTGCTTGAATTTTATCTGTCCACCCTGGCTCCTTCCCGCCAGGGCCACGGATGCCCACCCATCTGCCTTGCGTCTCTGTTGGCACATGTAGGGCCCCTGTGCTCTGGGAAGGTCACCCAGGCCGGGCCACGGAGGCAGGCAGTCCTGGGGCGGAGTGTCTCTGGAAAGAGGTGGGGTGCCTCCTCCGAGCCCTCTTGAGGACATCTAGTCTGGCGTTTGCCGCCCCATGTATTGGGCTAAGGCGCAGGAGGAGGCAGGGTGACAAAGGCCGTGGCTGGCCACGACCTGTCCGCCTGCACTCCTCAAGACGGGAGGAGAGGCGCTGCGGTTCTTCAGGAAAACCGGACGGGGGTGTATTGGGCTAAGGCTTGCTCCTGCGCAGGAGGAGGCAGGGTGACAAAGGCCACGGCTGGCCACGACCTGTCCTCCTGCACTCCTCAAGACGGGAGGAGAGGTGCTGCGGTTCTTCAGGAAAACCGGACGGGGCGGGTGGTGCTCCCTCTGGCGGCGAAGGGGCCCCCCCCCAGGAAGGACAGGCAGCTTCT